AGCCCAGGACCAGGGAAGCGGGAGCGGCCCCGGGACAAGAGCCGGGCGGGGGGCGGAACCGGGCTAGGGGACAAGGGGAGAGACCCGGGCCGGGGGACAGGGAAGAGACAAGGACGGGGGCCCAGGGACAGAGATCAAACATGCAACCGAAGAAGAAGTAGAAGGAGCGGTGGCATGTAGGGGTTCTCAGTGGGGGTGGTCAAAAGGATACGGAAACTTGGTGGGAAGGGAAGGGAACCCAGTGTGGAACTCAGGACTGCCCCTCCCTTCCCTGAGGTGGGGTGGGGCAGAGCCAGGAGTTGGGGGTGGGAGAAGGGGGATTTTAATACTTAGCTCTTTGGCTGGGAGGGTGATGTCCCCACCCACCCCTCTTAGGGGTGAAGGGGAGTGGGTGGCCCATGGGGAGAGGGGAGGGGCTGGGAGAAATGGGGGAGGGGCTAGCCCTGCCCCATGACCCAAGGCCCAGGCACCCACCTCTTCCACTTTCTGGGGAGAGAGGGGCACAGGGTCAGAGGTGGACCCGAATGGAACCCAACTCACCTCCCCCATCCACCAAAGGGTCCCCAAAGCAGCTGCACAAGGACAGGCAGGGGGCAGAGCCTGCCCCCCAACTGTGAGGGGGACAGGGCCCCCAGGCATGGAGCACAGAGGACTGGGGGGCTGAGGGAAGGGGCACCAGAAAGCAGGAGCAAGGCCGCAGGGCTGAGGCTTAAACGAGCAGAGGGAGGGATGAAAGTGAAGGGGTGAGGGGAGAGGGGCCAGTTAAGGGGTGAAGGGCATGGGAAGGAGGAGGAAAAGAGTGGGAGGAGCAGAGGCAAATAAAAGGAAAGAGGAAGGAGGAAGGAGAAATAATTATAAAAAAGAAGAGGGAAAAAAGGAAAAAGGAATGAAAGATGACGAAAGGGGGAAGAAGGAAAGAGGGAAGATAGAAAGGGAGAGCAGGGCAGAGTGAAGGTGGCTTGGGGACAGCAGGTGCAAATGGCAGCAAGACCCCCATGCCCATCTGCCCAGGCCCGATTCCTGCGCTCAGCACCCTGCCTGGGTACCTCTCTGTATCAGGACCCTCCTCGGTGCTCTCCAGGGGCGCTGGGGGCTCCAGGCTGGCGGGGCCCTGCGGGGGCGGGTCCCCCAACTCCGGGGAGGCCTCACCTGTGGCGTGGGGGAGAGCAGGGCTGGCTGGGAGGCCCTTTGACAGAGACTCCGCTCTGGGGGTCTGTTTCTTCCGCCGTGGAATGAGGGGTGGAGACCATCCCCGACTGCCCCATCTAGTGCCTGGCAGACACCAAGTGGCTGCTCTGTACACTCATGGGGGACGGACAGACGGAAAGGCCTCTGAGAACACAGCTGGGGCCCACAGAACTGGTGGGGAGACTGGATGCTCTGCTCGAAGCCTCCACATCCATTTGTTCGCCTGACCCTCAGCACGGACTTTCGGGAAGAGGACACATACACCCCATTTAGAGATGAGGAGCTGAGGCTCAGAGAGGGGTGCTCAGTGGGGGGTGCTCAGTGGGGGGTGAATGCCAAGGTACAGCAAAGGCAAGCCTCAGAGCTGGGCTTTGAACCTGGGCCCGGCCAAGCAGCTGAGGTCCCAGGGGCTGAGCGCCACACAAGGATTGTGAGAAATGAAATTCATGGGGCTGGCGGCTCACCATCTAAGGCTGACTGGCAATGTACTCAGAGAGGGTTCTGGGAAATGAACCCACGGGGGTGATGGGAAATGTAGTCCAAGGATGTAGGAAACATCACCAGGACAGAGGTCAGAGCCTGGGAGGAAAGCCGAGGACGGAGGGTGGCTTTTCGAACAGCACTGGTGACTGGGAGCAGAATGGGACATGCGGGGAGAACTGAGGGGGGTATTGCCATGGGGACCAGCAGACTCACCTGGTTCCCGGTCAGGACTGTCCCCGGATACAGGTTGCAGTGAAACTCCAGGGGAGTCCTGCCCAGGGACCCCAACATTCCGGTCCCGGGAGGGCACCCCCAGGCCTCCCTTCCGTTCTGTGAGGCCTGGCTTCTCAGCTGGGGAGACATTAAGGGAGAAGGGGGGAGATGAGATCCAGTAACTAATCCACAGCGGCCGGGGCATCGAGATGCTGTGCTCCAGCCGTTCCTCTCCACCCGGAGGCCCTCCTCCTCCTGCAGACCCAGGAGCCCAGCCCCCGGCCCCCTCCGCCCTCAGACCCATCTTCCCCTCTTAGGTTCCCAAAATGGATGCTCTGGCTTCAGGAACATTACCATCAGCCTCCGTTTTGAGGTGTCGAAAATCTGGGGCTGAAAAGAGAGATGGGACCAATGGGACCTTAAGATAGGGGGAGGCGGGTGTGTTGGGTGTGGTGGGGGGAGATGGTGTGTTGGGTGTGGTGGGGGAGGCAGTGTGTTGGGGGGAGGCGGTGTGTTGGGTGTGGTGGGGGGAGATGGTGTGTTGGGGGGAGGTGGTGTGGTGGGTGTGGTGGGGGGAGATGGTGTGTTGGGTGTGGTGGGGGAGGCAGTGTGTTGCGGGGAGGCAGTGTGTTGGGTGTGGTGGGGGAGGCAGTGTGTTGCGGGGTGGCGGTGTGTTGGGTGTGGTGGGGGAGGCAGTATGTTGCGGGGAGGCGGTGTGGTGGGTGTGGTGGGAGAGGCGGTGTGGGGAAGTCAGGGCGGGCGGGCCGGGCACCTCACCCTGGGGCTCTCCCCGGTTCCATCGGGCAGCGTCCAGGAAGCTGCTCAGTCCTTTCTTGGTCTTGGTGGGCTCATCTGAGCGCCGGTTTTCCTTCACCTGCGAGAGGTGGGGGAGGGCAGAGGGGTGGTATTTCTGAGCCACTCACATAGAGGAGCTGGGCAGGGGCAGAGTCATGAGGCTCCCACGGGCTCTCTGGGGAGGAAAGGTCCAGGTTTGAGCGCTCAGGGAAGCACCTTTTTCCGGAAGAAATTCCTCCCCGTCTTCTTGTCCCCGCTCTTGGTCCGCACCCCGAGGTGGCGCATGTACAGGCTGATGGCGTTGACCACAGCGGCACTGTGGGGAGGGGACAATAAGGACCCCACACACTGACCTGCACACTGCGCCCCCACAGCCTGACCCTCCAAGTTTGCTTCCCACCCCAACCCCACACCACTTCCTGCTGCACATCTCAGGAAGGGGCGAGGGCTCCAGGGGACAGGACCAGAGATGTGGCCGAACCCGGACCCCACGCCCCAGCCTCCTCCCTGGGGCCCAGGAGACTAAAACGCCTGTCTTGCTGTCCTCTGCCTCCATCACCTCTTTTCTTCATCGGTAGAGATGGTATGTCTGTGAGGAAGGAAAAAAGAGACAAGCTTGCTAAGCCTGGGGTCCCTGTCTACCCAGCACAAATGTCCAGTGGCTGTCCCTCTGAAGCTGGGACAGGACAGTGGAGCGGCAGAGAGGGCGCTGCCGAAGCAACGGGGAAGGAGAGAGATGATCTCATCCGGGTGCAGCCAAGGACAGGAGTGACAAGGACAAGACCCAAGTGCCAGGCCTGAGTAGAGGCCTTGGACAGGCCTGGAAACTGGGAGACCCCACCGCTAGGAAGAGAAGATGAAAAACCAGATGAACTAAAATGCCAGGGCTGTGGGACCCAGAAGTCAAGGGAAGATGCTAAGAAATGAATGTGGAGCTGCAGAGGGAGCCCTGAAATGGATGGGGCAGCTGGCGAGGGGCTGGCCCACTCACTGCATCTCCTCCAAGTTGGCCAGCAGCCGCTCCGCCACCAGCCGCTCCCGGGCCTCGAAGCTGGCGCGATCCCGCCCCACCCAGGCCTCCAGCTGGGTCAGCTCCTGCTCCCAGGGTGTCATGCCCATGAGCCGCTTGGATCGGAAGTCCTCCAGCTGCCGGCTGATGGCTGCCTGCTGGCTCTGCACCACCTCCTGCACGAACTGCCGCTGGCTGTCCTCGGAGATGAGGTCAGGCCGCGTGCGGTCTGCAGGGATAGGGGTGAGGCTGGGGGCCAGGTTCCCGGGCCCTGGTTCCCCACCCACCCTCGGACTCCAGTAGTCATGCTTCCTTGGGCTGCTGCTTCAGGAGGAAGAAAGGAATCTCCACTGACCAAGAGCACGGTGTGTGGCCTCCCGCCCTGGGCCTCCCGCGAGGCCTGGCCCCTGCTAGACCCCCTCCCTCATCCCAAAGTCCCCTCTCTTCTCCTTACCAAGTTCAAAGGCGACAGCGGAAGGGACAGACACCCGCAGAACCTGCTCAGGAGAGAGGATGGAGTGAAGGAGAGGACTGGGCAGTGATGGAATGGCAGCCTAGGTGCCCTGAGGAATGGTGGTCTGAGGGAGGAGCGGCGGGAGGAGGGCCAGGCTGGCACAGGGGCTCCCTGCCCAGGCTGTCCTTCCCATTGCCCTCAGCAGGACGGGGGCGGGGAGGCAGAGGGGACCGGGCCCCTGAAGGTGTCTCACCGCGGTCTTCTCCAGGAAGCTGTGGTAGAAGTCGAGGAAGGCCTTCTTGGCCTCCTTAGGGCCCAGAGAGCCCAGCAGGTCCGCGTGCAGGCAGCAGAGCTGGGGAGACAGAGGTGACCTGTTCTCCCTCCCGGCCACCCGAACCGCAGCTCCGCTTGGAAAACCTCGGGGCTCACGTCCTCTCGAAGTGTGCTCCCTGATCTCCACAGCCCCACACCCAGGCCAGGCCTGCCTCTCTCAAAGCCCTCCCTGGGGCAACCATGAGCATCTGGTAATTTCTCTCCTGTGGAATGGTTCTCTGTGGCTCTGCCTGCCCGCTGCTGCCACTACCACCCGACACCTTCTAAACCCTTTATAAACACAAACCTGTTGGCTCATAGGGACGTCGTCCCATCTCACAGATGAGAAAGCTGAGCTCAAGTTTACTGACGCTCACACAGCCAGCAAGAGGCAAAGCTGGGGCTGGAACCCAGGCAGCCTACCTCCCTAGACTCCATTGCCTAGAGATGCTGTGAGCGACTTGAGGGTTAGTGTGGCGGAGGCAGGGGTGTAGGTGCTGATTCATCTGTGTCTCAGGCAAGCCCAGTGCACGGCAGGCCCCGCTGAGGGGGGCTCACTTATTCATTCATGAAGCACCTCCCTGGACCGCCCTGTGCTGGGAGACGCTGGCAATGCAGTGGGGACTCCGACCTGTCCTGACTCCTGGGGGGCTCTCGTCTCAGTGCACTAAGGGCTCAGCCCACTGGGGGTGGGACTCCGTAAACACTTTCAACAAATATATCACCCCCACCCCAACCCACGGCAAAAACTCCATGAAAGGCCATTGGGAAGCAGCCCGGGACCACAACGATCCCTCCGCTGCTCCCCCAGCTGGCGAAGTGAGGGAACGGCATGAGGACAAGTCTCAAAATGCCGAGGCCTCTGGGTCACCTCAGCCAAGCCCTGGCCCTCAGGCCGCGGGTTCTACTCTGTGGAAGGACATGGCTGAGTCCCCGGCGCTCAGTTCTAGACACCCCAGGCTCAGGAGGCTGGAACCTCCATGCACCAGGTGAGGGTCTGCACTTTTCTGGAGAGAAGGCAACTTCCTAATCTCCTGCCGGTTTCTGAAGCCTCAGTGTCAGTCTACGTGCCCTTCTTTCTGCATCCCCCGGGCGCCCCTCCCTGGCACTTCCGCAGTCCCCTCGTCTTCCGGAGGGACCTGCTGGGCATTTCCAGTCCAGCCCAGTGCCCTGGGCTAACCCTGCTCTCAGCCCGTGCAGAGCTGCACTGGGGCTTCCTGGGAGGGGCTGCTGTCCACAGAGCTTCTTCCTTCCTACATCACCCACGGGGTCCTCTGGACTCCCAGGTGTCTTGCACAGCATGGCTCTGCACCTGCAGCTCGCAGGTGTTTCCAACACAGGTTTCTGGATCGCCAATTATCTGCCTCGAGGGCTGCTTGTGGTGGTTGCTTGTTTCTGAATCAAGGCTGGTGCACCACCTGGATCTGAGGAGGCTGATGGATGCGCCAGCCCGCAATGACTGACTGGGTTCAATTTCTGGAGTCCATGGGGTAGTCCGCAGGGATGGGTGACACGGCCACAGGCACAGGAGGGGATGGGCATGGCTTCTCCCCGGCTCCGGGATTCTGTTGCTCTCTCATGGCCCTGCTGTGTGTGCTCTCCCAGCCTGCACTCAAGCTCACTGAGATTCATACGGGCACCTGCAATCTTGTTGGGACCACACAGTGGTCCCTCGGGCTCCCTCGTTCTAGATCTGCTTTCTGGATCTATTTTCTAGACCCTCCTGGCTCATCTTCACTGGCCTAACCCACTGACCACTCTGGCCTGGCCCAGCCCCACCCTGCCTGTGCCTACCCAGCCCCATCCTCACCAGGGGTCCTGGCTCGAACTGCAGGGCCACGTGCTGCAGGAGGGCCATCAGGTGGGCTGGACGCCGCTTCACCTGCTCCAGGCTCTGGAACTGGCTGTTTTGCTCCTCTGGGTTCTGAGGGTGGGAATGGGGGTGAGACTGTGGGGAGAAGGGGGGCCTTGGGCTTGACCCTCCTGCCCCTTCCCGGGCACTTCCTGATGGATCCAAGCTGGGAGGAGGTGTCTATGCTGTAGAGGTGGCAGCAAGGCAGGTGAGAGATGAGGACATAAATTACAAGAGATGGGAAGGGGATCTCTGCTGTAATTGGGGAGCAGCGATAAAAATCGGGGTTAGAGTAAAAAGGCTGGGATCAAGAATGGGATGGGGAGACGAGGAAGGAGGCACCACGAAGACGAGAGAGAAGGGCTTTGAGAGGCTGCAGCGGGACAGCATCTGAGGACAGAGAACTGGACCTGAGGTGGGAGGGGACACTGAGGATGGGATTTGAGGGGCGGGGGCCCCAGGGACAGAAGCTTTCCCTCTCCAACTCCTCACCGCCTCCAGTTCGTTCTCAAAATCCTCGTCCTCGGCCCCAATGATGCTGACGGGCACCAGGCCAGGCCGGGGGGGCCCTGGGGCCTGTGGAAGAGGAGGGTTGGCTTCAGCCCACAGTGCTCCCCACTCACAGCCCCCCAACCTCCTCACCCCTTGGCTCTCTCCACTCACCGCCCCTCGGACCACGACGCTGTCTGCCTCCATGGGCTCTGCAGGGCTGGGGGAAGAGGAGGAGCCGTGGTTAGGCGATGGGAGGAGGTGGCACAGGAGGTTACTCACAGATTCCTGGCCCAGGTGTGAAGGTGAGTAAACAGCCTTTCCCCATCTGGGCCTCCACAGCTCAATGGGGCCTCTGTGTGGCGACAAAGAGCCCTTCAGAGGCCAGCCAGGGCGGGGAGCCCAAGGACAGGGAGACTTGTTGGGGGAGAAGCTGGAGTCCCAGGAGCCTGGGTCCATGAGAGCTGTGGCCGTGAGAGCCTGTAATTTTGGGGTCCCTAATGCAGGAGGGGGCTGGAGCTCAGACTCTGGGATCCGAGGGAGGAGGGGCTTGGTGCTGGGCCCAGGGGAGGCAGGGTGTGCAGGCCAGCAGAGTTGGGAAGGTTAAAGGGAGGTAGGAGGTATATAAATGGGGTGTGTGGGGGCTCTCTTCTGATCTGTGACAGGCTTGGGGCAGGATGTTGCCTCTGAACCCACCAGCCCCACTTCCTGTGACAGGAAGTCACAATGGCAAATCCCCCAACCCCCAACTCTCTCCGCATAAGAAAACAAACTCTGAACCCTTCTCCCTCAAGGACCAAGAGTACCCCAACCCAGGAGTTCTTTCCCTCGAGGATCTGACATATTTCTGGCTTTCAGTCCCAGAAAAACAAGGAACAGTCCTCAGACAGCTCATCCCCAAGGTGTGTCTGTCTCCCTTTCCTGTGTCCATCTTGCTGTCTCTCCTTTCTCCAGACAGCACTCCCTGGCTATATCTCCCTTGAATCTACCTCATCTGTGCCTCTCTTCCTCATTCTCTCCCTTCCTTCAGACCTGTCTCATTTTCCCCACTGTCTCTGCCTCCTCTCCCTCCTCCCGACCCCATCCTGCGTCTGTTGCTCCCTGCTTTTCCCTTCACCTGTCCCTGCCTCTGTCTTCCCACATTGGGTTCTGTAGCCACTGTCCCTGCACTTCTGAGTCAATGTCTCATATCTCATATCCCATGTCATCTCCCTTAGAGTCTCCACTTCTGTGTCTTCCCACTGATATCTTCTGTGTCCTTAATTAATCTGACTAATGTCACAGGAGCCCATGTCAGGCAGGAAGAGCTGTGGAAACAAGAGTGGGGTGGACCAGTGGTGGGGGGGGGGGAACTTCTCCCCACAGCTCAGAGCTATTTATAACCCTAGTTGCCTGACACCCACCCTTCCCCCTCTTCCATAGGCCGCCTCCCTAACCCTCAGTCAATGGCAGCTGTGATTTTGATTATGATCATTAAACAATGATGCTTCCCGGAGTGTCCAAACGCCATCCCATGGGGTTCCCCCGAGCAGCATCATTTTTATTCTTTTCCATAAAGGGTATGTGTCCAACACCCAAATTTGAGTAATTTAAGATTTGAGCGTTGTTAAATGTTCACATAAACAAAACTGCAAACCAAGGCAGAAAAATAATAGTAATTATTTATTATGAGAGCTAAACTTACACAGCACTTACAGGGTGCCGGGCACTGCTCCGAGGGCTTCTCACACAGAGCTCAACCCTCATAGCCACAAGCAGCCCATGCTATCGTGACTCCCACCAGAGAGGGAAAACCTTCACTGGCTGCCAGCTCAGACTTCTGGGCTGGAAAACATGACCATGAACATGGAGAGTCCATGCTCGTCCCGCTTAGGAGTGGACAGGTTCTACAGAAGCAGGGAGATTCCAGAAGAGCACAGGTTATCTGAGTGAATGCCAGGCAGGCCCCCGAGTCATGCACTTGGCATGGATTATCTCCTTGAAATAATGACTAAGGCTTAATGTGCACTAAGTGCCATTAAGTGGCAGCACTACTGCTTTATAGGTATTAACCGACTTAATCCTCTCAGCGACCCCATGAGGTCATTATCATCACCCCCATTTCACGGAGGAGGAAACTTAGACACAGCTCATAAGGCACAGAACAAGACTCAGCCCCAGGCAGTCTGGCTTCAGAGTTTATGCAGTTAACTACCAGAAAGTGCTGCTTCGGAGCATGGGGAACCCCAACCTTAGGAAACTAAAATCTGAACCGAAGCTGAGACACACGAGAATGGTCTGGGAAAGTCAGGGATATGTGGGCACTGTGGCCTGGCAGGAATGCAGGCTGGACTCCGCTGTGCCACAGAGGGTTGGGGCTGAGGGAGGATGGGGGAGCGGGGTTGGCTGCTTAGGGGGCAGGGGGGATGAGGGGCTGCCACAAAGGCTGAAGCTGAAAAATGGATCTGTAGGCAACTGACAAGGCCTGAGGCCCAGCAGAGGGAGTGCTCTGTGCATGGAGCTGGCGGGGGTCAGGGTAGGTCTAGGGGTGGAGATCCTAGAGCAAAGCTGGCACACGCCGGGGCAGCATGGGCACCTGGGTTCTCTGCAGGGCTCAGTCTATAAGAAATTGAATGGATGGTCCTGGTCTCTAAGAACCTCTGGGAGACTTGTAGAACCTAAAATAGTGATTCCCTAAGGGGCCCTGATTCCATCTGACACATGGTGGGTCACACATGATCATGAAACCATGGAGAAAGCAGCCAGTCTATGGGATCTCTGGAGACTTAAAAGGGGACCAGAATTCTAGGGGCCTGTGGTGGATCTACAGGGCCCTGGAATCTAGGGGATGCTACTGGCCCCCTAGTTGGGGACTCCACGTCTGTAAGGAGCCGGGTCTCCACAGGGGGCTAGCAGAAACCTGGGGTGTCTGTAGAACCTTGTATCTACATGGAAGGTGGCGGGTCTACACGCGCCCCCAAAGCTATATGGGACGTGGCGGGTCTACATGGGCCCCAAATCCTACAGGGAACGTGGCGGGGTGCACTTCCAGGGATGCTGGGGCGGACGTGCGGAGTCACGGTCTAACGCCCGCGGGGGCCGCGTCCCTCACCTGCTCGGGGTCGGAGAAGCCACCGCTGCTGCCAGGACCGAAGCCTCCGCGCGCCGGCTCCCGGTCCCCCCCACCCCCCTTCCAAGCCGCTCTAGCCGCCTCCGAGGCCACCTTTGATTCTAACTCCACTCCTCCCGCCAGCCGCTCTAGCCCGGCTCCTGACAGGTGACTCTATTCCTCCTGCCGGACGCTCTAGCTCCGCACTGCGCCACGCTGGCCAGATGGGGCCGCTCTGGCCTGCCTCGGAGGGCTGGCGTTTCCGCATCTCGACTGCTCCCGTCACTCCCCTGGGCCCCGCCTCCTCTCGGGCGGGAGGTGAGGAGGGCTCTAGCCCGACAGCCAGGGCTCAAGCTGAGATCTCAGAGGCACCTCGGCCCGTGGGTTCCCGGACGGGGCTCCCCACCCTGTCTTGCCTCCCTAACTCGGAGATCAGTTGAATTTCCGACGCTTGTACATGCAGTCTCCCCGCACCCCCACCCCCACCCGGCACACTTTCCGCTGGTCTGGAAAGCAAAAACCCTGGGTTCGAGCGTACCTTACGCCCCCCCCCCCCCCCCCGCCAGAAATTGGTGCTGCCTCGGTGGTTGAAGGGGGGATAGGAAGGGGCTCACTGTTCTATTATTCATGTCGGGATGTGGGTGGATGGGTCCAAGATCTGCTATACGGCAGTGCTCTGCATTTTCACGGCTCAATCTGAGTGCTTAGTTGTATTCTCGATCGTAGTGTTCAGTTTTTTGTGATTTTGTGAAAGAATCACCAGAAAAGAAAAAACGTTAAAGTGATGCAGGATCGGCATCTGATGAGCACTAGGCGGACGCCGAATACATAGGAAAGCAGAGATCAGGATCGAAAAGTACGATACTGAAAGAGTAGACGGAAATAGATTTTATAGAGGCACGTCCTCAGCGGCTCTAGTAAACTATCGCGCGCTTCAAAAAA